CCCCCCCCCACTCCCAAGCTCTGACCTTGCCCCACCCTGCTATTTGTTTGATTTAGTCCAAGGGTAGCCTTGAGCTCCTTGTAAGTTTGGGGGGGCTGCAGCAGAATCAACAAGAAGACTGGGAGTGGGTGGGGGATGGAGCCAATGGTTCAGGGCTTTGAGGATCGTGAGGAGGACTTCAGCTTTTGCTATGGAAAGTGGGAGCAGATAGGAGACATGAAGGGTCTACATACAATCCCCACTGCTACAGTGACTTGTGCTTGTGGTCTCAACACCCAGGAGGCTGAAGCAGAAAGGTCGCAGGTTTAAAGCCCATCCAGTTTGGGGTACAAAGTGAGAGCATCTCAAAGAGCCGAGAGTTGCAGTTGTGTCTCCACGGCAGGGCACTCGCTCCACGTGGCTAGGCCTTGGCTTCCGGCCTCAGTTCTACAAATGATAATAAGTAATAATAATTTAGAGCTGGAGAATGTAGCTCAGAGGCAGTGTTTGTAGCTGAAAATGGTGGTTCACACCAGTTTTTATGTTGTTGTTTTGGTTTGGTTTGGTTTGGTTTGGTTTGGCTTTTCGAGACAGGGTTTCTCAGTAGCCATGGAGCCTGTCCTGGGACTCACTCTGTAGACCAGGCTGGCCTTGAACTCACAGAGATCCTCTTGCCTCTTCCTCCCAAGTGCTGGGATTAAAGGCATGCGCCACCACTGCCCCGCTGATGGTTCACACCAGTTATCCCAGCACTCAAGAAGTTGAGGCAGGAGAATTGCCCCACTTCCAGAACCAACATGGGCTACAAAATGAGAACTTGTCTAAAAACAAGATCTGGGTGTAGTGGTGCTTGCCCTTAACCTCAGTGTGTCTAACGCAGCAGAAGGGAAGAGATCGTGTCTCGAACAAGGGCGGAGGCAAGGATCCATGTCTGAAGGTTGTCCACTGACCTCCACAAGTGGCCTGTGGCATGTGTGTGCCCATACACACACTCCACAGGGCGATTTGTGCAGGTTTGGCATAAAGACCACAGCACTTCATAGAAGGATTGTGATTTCCTGTGCTTCAGAATGGGGCTGGGTCATCCTGGAAGCATCCGCTGTGGATGACAGAAACTGGTTGATCTTTGCATAGAAGATAACTATATTGTAGAACCAATTTCACCTGTTTCGTTTTATTTGTTTAATATGGAAAAGTTAAAATTCCCTCTGCAACTTTGGATTCTGCTAGGCAGTGCTGGTCTGTTCTCTCCTCCCTCTGCTTGGGATGAAAGTCGGGGTCTTGTGGATGTTAGATGAACACTCTGCCACTGAGCCCCACCCCTGCCCCTCACTGGGGATTCTAGGCAGGGGCTCTACCCTGAGCTACACTCCTGCCCCTCATTGAGAAATGCTAGGCAGGGGCTCGACCCTAAGCTACACTCTAATCCCTCACTGGAGAGTCTAGACAGGGGCTGTACCACTGAGCCATGCCCCCAGCCAAGCCTGGATAAGAACACTGAGCTGATCCCCCAAGTGATAAAGAGTGGTAAATGCCACACTTCCCTTCCAACACTATCCCCAGCCCTGGCGTGCCTTTCTCTCAGCATGCCTCTCCTCAGAACACACCACTCTGACATTTGATGTGTTTACTGGGTTCTCTCAGCTTCCTCCACACACGGAGACCCATAACTCCTTTGCACACACTGAGCAACAGCTTCTGTCTGCACAGAAAGAGAAAAGTGGGGCCCAGAAATAGAATGGTGCCTGTCGGAGGGAGTCTGAAGAAGTCCAAAGAAAACAGCATGGTCATGATCCCAGCAGTCAGGTGTTTGTGACCTCAGAAGTGCTCAACCCAGGCCAGCCAAGTCATATGATAAGACACTGTCTTCAAAAAGTGTGTGTGTGTGTGTGTGTGTGTGTGTGTGCATGTGTGTGTGTGTGGCATGTCAGCTCATGCTTGCAATTGCACACCTGGAAAGCAGAGGCAGGAGGATTTCTGTCAGTTCAAGAACAGCCTGGGCTACATAATAAGTATGCTATATTTCAATACTCTGTCTTAAGTATATGTATGTTTGCTGCACGTGGTGGCACACGCCTCTACTCCTGACACTTCAGAGGCAGAAGTAGGAGGATCTCTATGAGTCTGAGGCCGGCCTGGTCTACATGGTTAGTTCCAGGTCAGCCAAGGCTATACATTGAGACAGTCTTAATTGTGTGTGTGTGTGTGTGTGTTTGCGCGCGCGCGCGCACACGCATGCGTGCAGGCAGGCACATGCAGATACACTTTTGTGTTTATTATATATACACTAAGCATGTTGTGAACAGGGTGTCTCTTGCTACCTCTGCACTGCTGGATACCCCAGGCTAGCCAGCCCACGAGCAGCTTGGGATTAAAGGTATTACACCCTCCCCACGGGTACACATATGCATCTCACACACAGAAAGACAAAGTCAGCACTCAATCTGTAAGACAGGAACCATTTAATGTCACTTGACAGGCGATGGAACTGACCTGTTGATGTCCAGTCACCAGCTGGGGACCTCATAGCGCCATACACCTGCCCATCCACCTACCGCTGCCCCTTGCTTTCCTGTCTTACTGTTGTTTTCTCCTGCAGCATCTTGGCCACCGTCGGGACGGAGTTTGACCTACGGACACTGAGGGCGGTTCGTGTGCTGCGGCCACTCAAGCTGGTGTCTGGAATCCCAAGTGCGTGAGTCCCCATCCTTCTAGAAGGGTCTGCTTGGGGGTCCCCACTCCCATCCGGACAGTCAGGTCGAGGTTGTCTCCGGAAACAAACCAGAGCCTCATGCCTTTATTGAGCACCCACAGCCTCCCAGGAGTGTGTTCTGCACATTGTCCCTTCAGCACCCATAACCTATGGTATAAACCAGTGTCTCTGTTTCATAGGGCGGACACATAGGCACAGGTGCCTGAATAGTTAGATCAGGGTCACATGAGAAAGAAGGGACTGTGTGAGTTAGCAAGTGGAACTCCAAGCCTGGGTGGTGACCCCGTGGTGGCGACTGTTGGCATTCGCTGCCTATGAATGGAGCACTGCACGAAGAGCCTCCAATGCTCTCACTTCATCATTCACCCGCTTGGTGGGTACCCACTGCACAGATGAGAAGAGCAAGGCTCAGAAGAGTCCTCGACAGGGGTCTGTACACAGCCCACACTCTTGGTCTCCACGGATGTCTGGGCTTCACCCCATGGAGCGGGTGCTGCAGTGCAGGCTCAGGATTCAGTCAAGGGCGATTTCTGCCCCACAGTCTCATGTGATTGAAATCAGAAAGCAGCTACTCTGGGTGGCTGGGGATGGTTCATTTGGTGGAATGCCCCACAGTCTCATGTGATTGAAATCAGAAAGCAACTACTCTGGGCGGCTGGGGATGGTTTATTTGGTGGAATGCTTACCACGCAGGCATGAGGATCCGAGCTTGGTACAAAGCAGCCTTGCGGAAAAGCCGGGTGTGGGGGAGCCTGTCTGTAATTCTAGCCCTGGGACTGTGGAGACAGAGGCTCCCTAGAGCTCATGGCCAGACGAGTGCCAGGTTTGATGAGATTTAAGGAACACACTTGATGTTGACCTCTGCCCCCACTTACATGTATGTGCACACACATAGGTGAATAAGTGAGTGCTACGCTGTTCCTGGCAGTTCCACGTGTCCAGTAGTTTGAACTCTGTTCCTTTCCAGAACAGCCTCTGGATTAGGCTCCGCTACCATCACTGTGCTCAGCATGTTGGCCTCACTGACCAGAGTCACCTTCCACCCAGATTTAAAGAGGTTTCTCTGCTGTGGCTGGTGTCTCTCAGTACTTACTGAGCCATCATGGCTTCTGACTTCTCCCTCAGCACCATAAGAAAACTTACAATGAAAATAAAAAGAGAGATTTCTCAGCTGACCACCAACGTGTTCCTTCTACAGGAAAAGATGCCCACAGCCAGGGTCTGGGTGCCCAGCCAGCTCCTGGGTCCCATTAGATTAAAGGCAGATGACAAGCTAGTATTAGCAAGAGGCCCTGGTGACTGGGGTGAGCCAGGTATTTGCTGGTGTTCGTCAGCTTTCTGTCACTGTCACACGGTGCCTGAGATGAAGGAGGGAACAAGAAGGTGAAGGCACCTGCCAATGTGAGCTCCACTCCTGTTACCACGTAGTGGAAGGAGAGCCCTGACTCCTGCAGGTCATCCTGTGACCTGTACGTGTTCACTGTGGTGCATGAGCTCACGAGATAGATGGATAAATAGGTGATAGATAGATAGATAGATACATACATACATAGATACATAGATAGTAGATAGATGATAGATAGATAGTAGATAGATAGATAGATAGATAGATAGATAGATAGATAATAGGTAGATGATAGATAGATAGATAGATAGATAGATAGATAGATAGATAGATAGATAGATAGATAAATAGATAGATAGATAGTAGATAGATGGATGGATGGATGGATAGATAGATAGAGGGAGGGAGGGCACTGGCTGTTCTTCCAGAGGACCCGGGTTCAATTCCCAACACACACCTGGCAGCTTACAATTGTCTGTACCTCCAGTGCCCTCTCCTGTCCTCCACAGACACTGCCCCATACACCCACATACATGCAAAATCCATAAAATAAAAGCAAATGAAAAGAAAGTTTTTTTTTTAAAAAAAAAAGGGAATGGTTTGTTTTTGTTCCAATCAGGAGGTTCTAAGCCTTAGTCATGCCCCCTTCCTTTGGGCTTGTGGCCCGACAGCACATTAGTGAGCCCACATAGTCAGTGGCTTACCCCATGGCAGCCAGAAAAGCAAAAACCTTACACACGGTGACAACATCCTTCCGCGAAGCCCCACCCCTTAAAGTTCTACACCCCAGTTACTCCACAGGCTGGGAACTAAGACTTTAGCCAATGACCTTTGGGTGGGAGAGTGTTGTAACTGTAACAGAACACCCACAATAATCAACTTAGAAGAAAGAAAGGTTTGCCTGTGTCAGGATTGGTTTCAGCCTGTGTTCTGTCTGTCCAGTTGTGTTAGGCCTGTGGTGAAGCCACTCGTCATGGTGGGAGTACCAGGCAGAGCCAAACCACTCACCTGGGGTTGCAAAGGTGACTCAGGGATTGAGAGCACTGGCTGCTCTTACAGAGGACTTGAATTCAGTTCCCAGCACCCATGCCTGGGTGCAACTCCAGCTCCCGGCGCCCTCTTCTGGCTTCTGATGGCATTGCACACACCAGAACAAATCACTCACAAATACAAACACAGATAAACATAAAGATACATCTTTAGGCGAGATGGCTCAGCAGTCAGGAGCACTGGCTGCTCTTCCAGGTGATGGCAGTTCAACTCCCAGCAGCCCCAAAGAGACTCATAATTGTCTTTAACTCCTTTCCCAGAATATTCAGTACCTTCTTTTGGCCTCTGTGGGCACCAGGCACACAGATGGTGCACCGACATGCTTACAAACCAAGCACTCATACACATGAAATAAAAATAAATCATTTAAAATTAAAATAATAAAAGCACTTACCTATATTGAACAGAGGGAAAGGGCCCTCACTCAATCTGCCCTGTCTGTGGGCTCCATACTCACTGCCAGCCAACTGTGGTTCAACACCCCCAGTGAACAACTTCGTCTACTGAGCCCATCTTCCTTGCCATTACCCCTGAACAGCACAATCTAACAACTGCTTACATAGCGTTAATGTTATACTAGGGATTAACAGTTATATAGAAGTTCGGTGTAGTGATTCACGCCATTGATCCCAGCACTCGGGTGGCAGAGGTAGACGAATCTCTGTGAGTTCCAGAACAGCCAGGACTGTTACACAGAGAAACCCTGTCTCACAACAAACAGTTATCTCAATATTATTGACACAGGAGGATGTGTGTAGTTCATGCAAACAGCATCCACTTTCTGGTGTAGACTTGGTGTCTGCAGACTCTGCTGTCTGTGGGGAACCTCCTAGATACTGGAAGGTCCAGACAGCACAGAGACTGCAATCAGGATATGACCTGCTTTGCAGGGAAGTTACAAGTCTTATTCTGCTCCCTTCGAGCTTGCAAAGAGGGAGGAGAGAGGAAAAGGGAAAAAACTGTCCTAACTTTCCTTGACTTGTAAGATTGTAGTGCGCTGGCAAAATAGCTCAGTGGGAAACTGCTTGTCAGACAAGCCTGGTGACCCAAGTTCAATCCCCAAGATCCGAAAAAAAAGAACTGACTCCACAGAGTTGTCTTCTGACCTCCACAAATAATTACAATAATTAATGAAATCTCTTAAAAGATTAAACTCATGGGGCTTTTCACATGGGATGAAACTTTGAGCATTTTCAGTTTAACTCCTTCCTGGCTCTCAAAAAAAAAAAAAAAAACCCTAAAGCTGCTGAACTAACCCACCAATGTGGGTGCAACAGCTCGTGAGGCACGCAGACACTGGGGGGACCCTGTGAGGACAAGGGCTTGCCTGGACCCCATGGGATACTCTCTCCATCCAAATCTCCCACACCCCGTGACATCTAGCTGCCCATGCCCCCATGTGTCACATGACGCCACCTTCAGTATTATCCTTCTCAGCCGACTTACCTGGAGCACAGAAGCTTGTGTGGCAGTGAAGAACAGCAGGCTCGGTGTGAACCCTGACTCTGCTCTCCCTTGAGCCCGTAGAGAAGTCAGAGCCCGCTGAGTCTCGATTCCCAGCCTGTAAAATGGAGGTGATTTTTAGCCTGCAGCTGCCTCCACAGGTCAGGGCTACAAGCAGAGGAGATAATGTGAAATCTGATCCTTGGAGCTGGGAGTTGAGGTGCTGGCTGCAGGCCCTGCAAGGCTGCTGGTAACCTGAGGGAGACAGGGTGAAGGGGACAGGTGACCCTTCTCTTGGCTTGGGGCCCTTTAGGGAAACAGCACCCCCTTGTGGAAGGAAGCTACTAAGCGTCCCAGAAAATGGCTTAGAAAGTTCTGGTTAGCTGCCCTTGGGTCCTGAAGCTCCTCAAAGAGCACAGTCTAGATCATAAACACCAAGGCCTTTCTTTAGGGGAGGGGTGACCACCTACCTCTTTGTCAACCCCACTCAGGGCTCCATGGGAGGCACCTGGGGTGCTCGCTCACTGGCTGGTCTCTGTCTCCCCACTCAGGGCTCCATGGGAGGCACCTGGGGTGCTCGCTCACTGGCTGGTCTCTGTCTCCCCACTCAGGGCTCCATGGGAGGCACTTGGGGTGCTCGCTCACTGGCTGGTCTCTGTCTCCCCACTCAGGGCTCCGTGGGAGGCACCTGGGGTGCTCGCTCACTGGCTGGTCTCTGTCTCCCCAGGTTTACAAGTCGTCCTGAAGTCAATCATGAAGGCGATGATCCCTCTGCTGCAGATCGGCCTACTCCTGTTTTTTGCAATCCTTATTTTTGCAATCATAGGGTTAGAATTTTATATGGGAAAATTTCATACCACCTGCTTTGAAGAGGGGACAGGTAGGTCAATACTGTGGGATGTGAGGTCTTTCTCAGGGGACAAAAGTCCAGAAAGGACAGACAGGGGCAGTGGTTTCCCCAGCCCTGGAAGCCGGTACTCTGCAGCAATGGGCCTGCTTACAGTTCACGGGAGAGAAGGCTGTGTGTGTGGCTGGGGGCCGAGATCTCACTGAACATGCGTGAGGCCCTGGGTACCTCCCCAGCATGGCTAAAGTGCCTGTAGGAAAGCCAAAGGCCACAATCACCTTGGAAACCTTGATCATGGCGACAGTGATGAGCTTGGGGGAGCCCCTAGGAGGCAAGTGGTTTGCTTGGTTGTGGTCCCTGAGGCACCCCTGGGAGACACGGAGAGACAGGCGTAGGGTCTGCTCTTGAGCAGTTTTTCCTGTGAGCTCAGGCAAATGCTGTAGTGTCTGGAAACAGCAGGACTGTGTCTCACCACAGAAACGGAGGGCAGGGCTCGATAACAGAGTACGAACAAGGGAGGGTCCTTCGCTGCTCCTTCAGAACCCAGCACCTGACAGACAGGTCCTGTCCCAGGCAATGGGATCCCCGTCTCTGATAGAATCCTGTTTCATCCAGTCAGAACCCAGCACCCAGCAGGTGCCGACTGCCTGCCTAAGGCCCCTTCATGCTCTAGCTAACGTTGGGAGATTGAGTTCAGAGGGAGCTGTGGTGTGATTTGGGCCACAGAGATCAGCGTGGAGGGTGCACGTGGGGTTCAGGTCTGACCAGCAATGTGGAAGACACATGCTGCATTCACGTTTGGAGGTGCAGGCCCTTCCAGATGCATTTCCAGTTCAGTCTTAGACTCCCCAAACTCGAGCTGCCTGGATGCCCCAGAACCAAGAAGACTCAAACAAGAGGGGGTACCTGTGTTTCAGTACTTGGACCACCTGCCCCAGAGCAGGCAGTCTGGGTTTCCATAGCCAGAGAAAGAGGGAACCCATGGGCAAAGAGATGTGTGGGGCCTTGTTGGGAAAGGCAGCCAGAAAAGTGTAGTGTGTGCAGAAGTGGTCTCGTACCAGCTGCACCAACTGACCCCAGCAGATCCACAGAGGATGGTGTCTTGGCCGGGTCCCCACTGGGAAGGTTGTTCTAGAAGCTGGAACTTTGTTTCTTCTTTCTCCTGCTTCTTCTCCCCTGGGCTTGTGAAGTTTGCTCGATACAGAATGGCCTAATTATTTCTTTCTCCAATGAAGAAGGTGTTAATTGAAGCGGATCTATTTCTGCACCTGGTCTCACCCAGGCGGAAGACACAGAAAGTGTCTCTCAGCCCCAAACAGAAAAACCCTAACTTAGGACCTAGAGGCTTAGGCTGTGTGATGTGTCCGGGGTGTTTTTGTTTTTGTTTTGTTTTCCCATCCAGGACTGACTGGCTGGGGTCCCAGTGGGGTTGTGGGGGGACTAATGTAGGTGGAGCCATGGAGGACAGCAGCCTGGATTCGGGAGGCGATCCAAAGAGCTCCCAATTAAGACTGTAAGATGTGTGAGTAAGAGACAGATATACACAGACGCCCCGGCAGCAGGCTAATTTTAAAATATATTTATAGCTGAATTTCTCTGACTCCGGATGGCTGTGTTTCTCGACTCAACCCGGGGAGTGCTTGGCGTCGACGACTGGGTTTGAGGGGGCTGGGGTCGAGCACACCTCTGGATGATGTTGCTAAAGATAGGTGGTTCCCAGCTACAGGCTCGGGGAGCCCACTTCCTGTCACCCACTGCCATCCCACACATTCACAGACTCCAAGACAAAGCGAAATGCTTCCTGTTTTCTAAGAGTTCCCAGAATCCTGGATGCACAAGACCCTGAATGGCACACATTCTAGGCAAGGAGGCTGATGTGCAGTTGTCTCCGTGCTGCCCACTCACGGGAAAGTTGGGGGGCCGCCAGAGGCCTGAGGAAGTGGGGACACCGGAATTAACCAGATGATTACAGAGGGTTTCACATGAACCGGATTTGGACTGGAAGTGGGGCAGAGATACACAGGTGATCTTCCCGGGAGCCCCTGTGCAACCTTGAGCCTTAAGCTTTAATGGTTTCACTTTCCCGTCTCCTCACTGTGTGTAAGTCCAGTGTGGGGGCAGCCTAGGTACCTGAACTTCTAGCAAGGCCTTTGGCTGCCTTTCTTTACTTCACACTTTGCTGTGTTTTTGTTTTGTTTTTTGGTTGGTTTGGTCTTTGTCTTGTTTTAAGACAATCAATCTCACTGTATAGCCCAGGCTAGCCTGAAACCAGTCATCTTCCAGCATCCTGGGTGCTGGGGCCACAGGTGTGAGCCCTCTCTACCCCTGACATGTTCTTCACTGTTGACAGGATGACTCCATGTAGCAGGGAGTTCGGTCCTCTTCCCTGCATGGCAGTTGAAGTGGGTGCAGTAAAGCCAGCTGCACACAGGAGACGGATGTCTGTTGAGAAAAACTTGATTTTTATACACTTGGCTGTTGGTTTTTTTTTTCAAACATGTCATCTTTTGTTCTTGAGCCTTCTCAAACCAGCCATCCTAGCTCTGGGGAAGATGAGGCAGGAGGATTTCCAAGAGTTAGAGCTATGCACTGAGTTTGTGGCCAGGTTGAGCCAGGTGTCCAGCCCCTCCCCATTCACTTCAAAGGATTTGTATGACGTGTTCTGCCTGTTCCTCCCCTGCAGGCTGTCTGGGGATGCAGTGTTAAATAGCATCCCCTGACACTCCTGACATGTCACAATGTATCTCCTGGTATGGGGGGAGAAAACTCCGTTCTATTCCTACCCTCAGGTAAGGGTAGGATCCATGTGTACCTGTCCCTCACCCCAGAACCCCTTGCATGCCGTGAAGAAAAGCAGTCAGCGAGGCTCTAGAAGTTCTCCCAGATGACACGCATTTCATGGTGCCCTGATCTGACCGTGCTGTGGATCACAGAACACATCCCAGTAGCTAGTGACTACGTAGACCGCAGCCAGAATGCTGGCTCACATAACTGCCAATCAAGCCCAGAAAGAAAGCGCCACAAGCATTGGGAAACCAAGAGGCATATTTCTTGTTTGCGGATGAAACTCTCTGATGTTGGGGAATCTAGCAGTGGTCTGAGTGTGTGTGGGTGATGGACATGAGCAATGCTGCCCCCGAGTCACTCAGTGTGGCAACCAATGACACCAATGATAAATACATGGGAAATCACCTCTCTCTTTTTCTTCCCCTCTCCCTCGTTTATTTTTCCAGGGAAATATTTATTAGTTACCCATGGGTCAAGGGTCAAAAGAGAAATAATAATGTAAATTGGGAACTGTCTTAGGGTTTCAGTTACTGTGACAAGACACCGTGACCATGGTACTTCTTATAAATAAAACTTTTGAGGTTTTTTTTTTTTTGGGGGGGTGGTTTCCGAGATGGGATTTTTCTGTAGCTTTGGAGCCTGTCCTGGAACTAGCTCTTGTAGACCAGGCAGGCCTCAAATTCACAGAGATCTGCCTGTTCCTACCTCCCAAGTGCTGGGATCAAAGGCGTGCACCACCACCATCAAGCATAAATAAAACATTTTAATTGAGGCTAGCTTACAGTTCTGAAGTTTAGTTCATTATAATTGTGGCAGGGAACATGGCGGTGTGTAGGCAGACATGGTGCCAGAGAAGGAGCCAAGAATTCTACATCTGCATGAGCAGGCAGCAGGAAGAGAGAGATCCTGGGCCTGGCTTCAGCTTCTAAAACCTCAGAGCCCACCACTGACACACTTCCTCTAGCAAGGCCACACCCCCTAATAGTGCCAGTCCTGGGGGTCAAGCATTCGAAGATGAGTCTGTGGGGGCCATTCCTGTTAAAACCACCACAGGGAATATTTTCATAATAATAACTAATAGTGTTTCTGAGTTGCAGTCAGAACTGCACTTGAAGGACAATTTATAGCCTTCAAGAAAATGGCTTCATTTCAGCAGGTTCAGAAAAGACAGGAGCCAGAGGTGGGGGCGCATGCCTTTAATTCCAGCACTCAGGAGGCAGAGGCAGGGTGATCTCTGAGTTCAAGTCCATGCTGGTCTACAGAGCGAGTTCCAGGAGCTGAACAATCTGGTGCTGCAGATAGGAACTAAGGGATCTAAAGCTGACACTGATACTTCGTCCCAGTCGCTGCTTTCCTGTCATCAGCCCCTCTTACTCTCCACTGTCCCTTCTCTAGACGACATCCAGAGTGAGTCGCCAGCTCCGTGTGGGACAGAGGAGCCCGCCCGCACCTGCCCCAACGGGACCAAATGTCAGCCGTACTGGGAAGGGCCCAACAACGGCATCACTCAGTTCGACAACATCCTGTTCGCTGTGCTCACTGTTTTCCAGTGCATCACCATGGAAGGCTGGACTGATCTCCTCTACAATGTAAGCGCTGCTGGAGCAAACAGGCGGCATGGGGAGGGGAGCCCTGAGTTGAGCTCAACACCCTCTCTGGCAGCGTGAGTCCAGGCCTTTAGAAATTCCTGAGCCGTGGAAATCTAGATAATATGGAGAGTACTTAATGGCGCCTTGGCCAGCGGGTGTTAAATATGCTTTCTGTGTGTAAGCCTGAACTCAGCATGAGTGGGACCTTCCTGCCTGGGCAATGCCATCCAGCGCCGGGCATCCCTTCCCTTGACATATGGAGTACATGGGACCCAGGGGGTGACTGTGAGGAAGTTGGTGTCCATGCTAAATTACCTGGAATCCCAAATTCTCAATCTAAACCCAAATCCATGCATTTCTATGAGATCCTTCCATGTGTGTTAAAGTCTCCCCTTTCTCCAGTAGGCAGTCACCAGCACAAATGTGGCTGGAACGTGGGCACACACACAGTGGACTTTCCACACATCTACACAAGCTGCTGGCAGGACAGAACTGTGGACAGTAGGAAGAGAGGCAACAGGGCATGGTCACTGACCATGGCTGGCTCACCCCCCTCCGCAATGCATGACAGACACCCAGATTCTAGAAGCACAGGATGTCTTTGATTTAGTCACTTTGAAACGGGTACAGTTGGAAAGTGGCCACTTCACAACCAGATCCAAAAAGGCACCTGTCCTGCCCTGCGTGCCTTCTGCTTAGTCACTGTCCCTCACCATGGGCCCTTCTGTGCCTTGACACATCTTCCCACTGCCCATTTACACCAGTGCAGTCATACCTCAGCAGCCGTGATCATTGGTTGCACGACCCATCTGATACCATGGTCCAGGGCCGCTTCCATTCTCTGTGTGAAATGCGGTGGAACCTGAACACCTCCCTGTGTTCTCTAAACCATGGTGTGTCAGCCTTTGCTGCATTGGTGCTGCAGACGTGATTCATGCTATGTAGCTCAGGAGCATGGGCAAGGTGTGCTCAGTGCACATGTGTGTTGACTTCTGACCACAGATATGGAGGACCAGCTGCACAAGAAGAACCAGATATATTCTTTGGCTGGAAGATGATTCTGTAGAGAAAGCACTTGTCTGACAAGTGTGAATTCTCACGTGTGTGGTGACCTGCCAGTAACTGTAGGGCTCTGGAGGCAGAGACAGGATCCCTGGACAAGCTGGTCAGCTAGACTAACCAAAGCTACATTAACCAGGTTCAAGTGAGAGACCCTGTTCAATATTAGCATGCACTCAGTGTGAGCCCACAGCCTCTGCATGCACACATAGGCATGAGACTTGTGCATACACACATTGCACACATAGGCAGAGACATGTGCATACACACATTGCACACATAGGTATGAGACTTGTGCATACACACATTGCATGTACACTGCACAGACATTTTTTAAATATCTGTATTGCTCATCTTAGCGCCATAGGGTCACACTCTACACTTTTTCCATCACTCCTTCTTAGAACAATAAATTCTAGAATGGTCTGTATGACAAGACAGGGTTCATATTCTTTGTAGAGCAGCATAGAATTGCATTGTGTTGCTGCCCACAGTTTATGTGCTCAATCCTTTAGAGAGGCGTGTCTGGATGCCCACCACCGAGGCATCAGGTACTGTGGTGCCATGAGCACCATTGCACTGTGGGTTTTCATGCTTTTGTAGATGCAGATGGAGTCTATGGCCCCAAAGTGGGATTACAAGGTCAAAAACTAAATTTATTTATAGGGTACTTTCTAAAAAATGGGATGACGGTGGGGAGATGGCTCAGATGAGAAAGTACTTGCTGCACAAGTATGAGAACTTGAGGTTGACCCACAGAATCCATGCAAAAAGCTGTGAAGCAAACACCCAACATTGTCCTGTGACCTACTCATGCATACACACACAAATGTATGTACACATGCATGTAATTCTCAAATGCATACATGCAGACATGCATGTACATACATACATAATACACATAGGCAAAAATAAACATGCGCATGCATATGTAAACATGCAAGTACATACATCTAATACATGCACACACATGAATACACGCAGGCACACACACATGCAAATACATGCATACACACATGCATATACAGTCATGCATGCACACATACACACAGCAAGATGAAGGACATAGCCAAGTATATTGCAATTCTTATAAACTATTTTTAGAACAGATTTGTGGGTTGGGTGTGGTGGCACAGAGCTGTCATCTGGGAACTAGGGAGGCCAAGACAGGAGGTCGAGACTTTGAGATCAGGGTGGGCTACTTAGGAAGACACTATCTCAATA